CTGGGCGAGTCAGGGAGGGGGTGCCAAGTGACTTCGGAGGCCCAGGACACCATGTCATGCTGCAGACTTTATAAACTCACATGAGCACACGACATTTATAAAAATACTCTTCTTTCTTCAATAATAAAATTAACCTTAACTTACTGTAACATTTTTACTGTACAATTTTTTTTAATTTTTAAAAATTTTGACTCTTTTTAATACTTGCTTAAAACACAAAAGCATTGTACAGCTGTATAAAAATATTTTCTCTTTACATCCTTATTTTATAAGCTTTTTACTAATTTTATTTTATTTTTTTACTTTTTTAGACTTTTTGTTAAAAGCTGAGACACACACGGTCACCTCAGCCTTTGCAGGGTCGGGCTTCTTCCGTCTCCACACCTTGCCCCCCTGGAAGGTCCTCAGGGCCAGGGACACGTGGGGAGCTGCCGCCTCCTATGACACCAATGCCTGCCCTGGACACCCCCTGAAGGGCCACCTGAGGCTGTTCACAGTTACCTTTTTTTTGTATAAGTAGAAGGAGTACATTCCAAAATAACAATAGAAAGTATAGTTCGGACATGGGCCAGTCACACTGCATTTATTATCATATGGAGTATTATGTGTGTGCATGATTTTCTGTGCTGTACTTTCATACAACGAGCAGTACAGTAGGTGTGTTGACTCCAGCCCTCCCACAAACGCCTGAGTAACACTCTGTGCTCTGACGTCACAATGGCCCTGATGTCACCAGGTGTTGGAGACTTTTCAGCTTCATTATAACTCTATGGGATCACAGTCATCTATGAGGTCCAGTGCTGATCAAAGCGTCATGCGTGCATGACTGTGCATGGGGTGAGCACTAGGTGTGGTGAGTATATAAAGAATAAGTGTGTATTCTCCAGGACTACCCACATTATGGAGGCCAAGCCAGTTGCCCTGCGCGGCATGTGGAAGAGGCTTTCTTATAGCAGACCGCAGGACAAGACTTCGAGGCCACCGGCGGCCTCTGGCAGGAGCGCCACATAGCAGGAGCCTGCTGTGTGCACCAGGCAGCTCACAAACATTTATTATTACTATTTGTGGGAAGTAGAAAACTTCTCTTTAAAGTTTCCTTTCTTGTTAAAGAATAAATCCTAAGTGTGCTAATAACTCCTTGCTAAGCACTATTCTATGTAGCTGTTGAACACGCCATGCTCACAGGCACGTAGCACATTCTATGTCCTTGTACTTTAACCAAGATATCTGTGCTGGGCATGCTCACAGGCATGTCCCAGCTCTCCATTGCTTTTACCTGTTTAGAAAAGCTTTAAGTTGTTAGCCAATTGGATTTTGGTTTACATCGTCAGGTCTGGCTCCAGCCAACAGAGATCAGACACAGCAGTAAGGACGAACCCAAATGCACGAGGGATAAACATGTCTGCTTTCCTTTGTTCATTGTACTCTCATGGCAAGACGGCTAGCAGGGATACCCTTCCTGCAGTCCAGGAAGCAAAAATTGTATTGCTGGAAGATCCTTTGTCTCAGTGCTAATTTTTCTTTGCAGCACCGAGCATCTGTTTCCAACATTATTAGAAACAGGGTCTCACTCTGTCACCCAGGCAGTGTGACAGAGTGGAGTGCAGTGACGTGATCATGACTCACTGTAGCCTTGACTTCCCCGGGTTCAAGCAATCCTCCCACCTCAGCCTCCTGAGTTGCTGGGACTAAAGCTGTGTACCACCATGCCCAGCGACTTTTTGTATTTTTTGTAGATATGGGGTTTCAACACGTTGCCCAGGCTGGACTCAAACTCCTGGGCTCAAGGGATCCTCCTCCCTTGGCTTCCCAAGTGCTGGGATTACAGGCCTGAGCCACCATACCTGGCCACAAACAGTATTTTTATTTATCATCAGAATCCTGCTAGGGATGTAATCATTGCTCATATTTTACAAAGAGAAAGCCTGAGAATTTGAGAGATTTTTAAAAACCTCTCCACAGTGACCCGCCTGGGACATCAGCCCGCTCTTGTTGTTCCCACCCCCAAGGAGCTGACCAACCCCGTCTCCTTTAATTGCATCTCAAGGCATCTCTGGTACCTGGATCAGCCAGCAGGGACCTGGGGAGCCCAGGGAGTGGGAAGAGCGGGCAGCTGACTCGAGGGCCACAGTGGCTGTCCTGGTTAGGTTGATGCCTCACCTGCTCTGCTATCCGTGGGGTCCGTGCCTGCACTGGGTGGGGACTGTGGGAGCTTTTGCATGGAGAGGGAACAGAGGGGAAGGGAACCAGGAGCAAGCAGAGGAGACGAGAGCAGCTGGGGACCCCAGGAGGAAGGGGGTGGTGATGGGGGAGAAAATGGAAAAGAGGGTGAAAGAAAAACAAAGCTTTGTTTTGCTCAAGGGGTGAGTTCAAATGTCACCAGCTGTTGCTCCAGGGTCCCCGGGGGAACCCCTCAAAGGAGGAGGAAGGGGGTGGTACACTCTGAACTACCTTGAGGTGTCACATGGTTGATTAACTTACTCATGGTGCTGAATCGGACGGGAGCAGTAATACTGGAAACAGATCAGAATGCCCACGGACCCCCAAGCCCAGGCCCAGGCAAACACAATGGAAGTTGCTTTGGAATCCATGCTCGAGGGTCAGAAGGGCAATATAGGCACTGGCTCAGAAAATGGGGGCTTCATGCATCAGAGAATTTCTAAAGAAGGAAGTGGGATGGGAGTGCTGGGTTGAGAAGAAAGTTCCTGAGAAAGACACCTTGGGAAACACAAGTGCCCACATATTAAAGATGTTCCAGCGCCCAGAGCCTCATGCCAGGCGGCCTGCAGACAACTCTGCCTAAGAACAGAGGTCCGCAGACCAGAAACTGCCTGAAAAGACATGAAACTAGAAGGTTTTACCCAACCCGGCACACAAGAAGGCCCCAGTGCCAACCCCGGGAGCAGAACCTCCACACTCCCCACCCGGAGGCACAGGTAATCCACAGGCCCCTGGAGAGCATGCCAAACACCCTTTCCACGAATCCGCCCGCCTGCCTTGGCCTTGCCGCCAGTGTGGCCAGGAACCCCGGAACCCATAAACTAAGTGTCCTGGGAGGACAGATGAGAGAGGACACAGCGCTCTGGGAAGGATAAATTCACAAACGCCAGACTTCGTCTCTGTCACCCGATGATCTTGAGTGTTTCTGAGACCCCACGTGGCCAACAAGGGCCAATGTTCATTGAGCACATGATGTCGTAAGCAAGATAGAGACACAGCTGAGACCCAAGGCCGTATGTGGCCTCCTCCCCAAAGCGGGCGTTCCAAGAGCTGATGTAAGGCCACATCCGTCCCTTGAGGAAGCACTTCCTAATATTCCCATCTTCCAATGGGAAGCCAGTGGCACTGGCCCCAGCCCACCCTGACAGGCAGAGGCCTTGGATTTTCTGGGGTGATGGGAGTGGGCCATTGACTAACACATTTGCTAAGCCAGTCGGCTTGGGCTGGGGGAGCGATGAGGGTGGAAGCAACAGAAAGGCTGGCGTAGTGTCATCCACTCTGCACTCCCGAGCTAAATGACACCGGGACCCCTTACAGCAGATGCACAAGAATCTCTCAACTGAATACAGAGCTACTATTCAGTGAAGCAATCCCTACTGGCTCTCTCTCCAAAGGAAATGAAATTATTCTATCAAAGATACCCACGCTTGTACATTTATGGTGGCACTATTCACAAGAGCAAAGATACGGAATCTAGCTAAGTGTCCATCCACAGGTAAATGGATTTAAAAAGTGGTATATACACACAATGAAGTGAAAAAGGATGGAATCCTGTCTTTTGCAGCAACATGGATGGAACTGGAGGTCATTATCTTAAATGAAAAAAACTAGGCCCAGAAAGTCAAATCTCGCCTGTCCTCACTGGTAAGTGGATGCTAAAAACGTGTACACGTGCACACAGAGAGGATGGCGGGCAAGGCACATGTGGATGGCAGACGGGGCAGGGGTGGGTGATGAGAAGCTAATGGGTACGATGTCCGAGATCACCCTAAAAACCCTGACCTGATTGCTATGTAAACTATGCATGTAACAAAACTGCACATGGACCCTGTAAATGGGTACAAACATAATAATAATAATTAATAAACAGGAATCTTTCATGCAGCGATATCCCCACGGCTGGTATTGCCTTAATGAAATGCTGTCAACTTCCTCCCTCGAATACCCTCAAATGTTAGCAGTTACCAAAGCTACCCTCAGGCGGAAGCCAGAAAACACAGAAGCAAAGAGTTGGGAGAGAATTTTTGGCTTACCCAGTCCAAGCCCCGTCCCTGCTCCCCTTGGAAGTGGGAGACTACCGGCTGCAACACTCTCATTTCAAAAGCAAAGGGTCCGTGAAGCATTTGGTCAAAGAGGAAGGATTTTGCAATTGCAATCTGAGGTCACGTATCACTCCAAGAGGTTTTTAGGGCTAGTCATTTGAGTTTTCATAAAAAGAACCGAGTATAGAAGTTACCAAGTGATTGCAAATTCTGAAATTTACTTACGTGCTATAATTTTTTATTGCTTTTAGACAAACCTGAAAGTATTTGATAATTTTTTTCTCTTAGAAAAGTTTAAGGGACATCAAAACTGCCCAGCATGGTGGCTCATGCCTGAAATCCCAGCACTTTGGGAGGCTACGGCGGTGGATCACTTGAGGTCAGGAGTTCAAGACCAGCCTGGCCAACATGGTGAAATTCTGTCTCTACTAATAATACAAAAATTAGCCAGGCATGGTGGCACATGCCTATAATCCCAGCTGGGAGGCGGAGGCAAGAAGGTAGCTTGAACCTGGGAGGAGGGGGTTGAGGTGAGCCAAGATGGCACCATTGCACTCCAGCCTGGGCAACAGAGCGAGACTGTCTCAAAAAAAACACCCCAAAGACCCTGCACGTACACACACACATGAACACATTCACACATATACACATCGTCATACATGTGTACACACACCCATACATGTGTACACATGCACACTGCCATCACCATCTGTGTGTTAAAGAAACCAAAATGAAATGTAGCAGATTTTAAGAGTTTTATTTAAAGAAATTGTACATTAGGCCATTGAAAGGATAAAAAGACGATTCAGACAGCCCGGGATTTCATGAGCTATGAAGCTGACAGACGGTGAAGCTTCCCCTTTTGTTTCGGAACACCCGGTGAGCCTGATGTATTCGCTGGAGCCAGCGGCTCTCAGTAATGGCAGTCTAGAAATTCAAATGCAAGACGGTTGATAAGGGAATCCCAGAAATGGGGGAGCCTAGGCTGTGAAGCTGGGGTGAGTGCACATCACTTTACCAAGACTTTCTACTGAAGAAGGAGCCCCTCCCGGGAAAGGGTGTAAAGGGACCAAGTCCCCCCACTCCAGGCTAGAGTTTCCTCTGTGGGGTGCATTCTCCCCAGACAAGCAAATATTTTCTAGGTGGACCTTTTGTCCTATAAAAAGTCACGTGGAAAATCCTGAACGTTAAACATTTTGCTCTTTGGAGTACTTTGATATCCGAAGAAGAGGAAATAAAAAGGCATCCTTCAAGGACCAGAGCGCTCTTTCCCTATTTTCCTGGATCTGGATTTCTGCTTGGTCTTTTTTTATCTTGCAACGCTCCGTGTCAGGAACACACTATAACTAAGCGGGTGGGAGACGTGGACCCATTCACCTCTGTGCGAGGGACCCTCCCAGGACTGCCCCAGAGCAGGACTTTGTGGGCCATGTTTGTCACTGGGGGTCATGTAGGGGAGGGTGGAGAGGCCACGGGAGGAGGGTCCAGGTCTGCTGGAGTTGGCCCTCTGTAGTACCCGGAGCAGTGCAAGACGCTCAAAACACAGATCAAATTGCAGTAAAATAGGCGATGCCGCTGAACATGGCGACACATGGGGAGGCCACAGGGAGGAGCTGCTGTTTCTGGAACCATGAGAGATGACGCAGTGGCAATGCTGGAGGCTATACATTTACGGAAAAGATGCTGTCTTTGCCAAGAACATTCTGGAATTGCCTTCAGAATCCTAGGGGAGGCAAGGGCCCCTGCCTCGATGGCATTGAGCCTGTGAAGCAGCCTGCGAGACTACCTCCCCAGGGACTGTGGAAGTGCTGGCCCTGGGACAGCCTCCCCGCACCCCACCTCTACAGATAGAGGATAAATCATCTGTCTGGGAACCAAACGGAGCGTCCCCCAGTAGCGTTACCTTCCACAGACTTCGGGAAGAAGCACCAGGGCACTTCAAAGATGAGGTTGGAGAAGCAGCACTTCCGAGAGGCGCACTCCTCAGGGCTGATGCCTGGGTAGCCACAGTTTCTTCGGGCAGAGACCTCCATGACGCACTGCTCCGACTCTGCAATGGGACAGGCACAACACAGAGATCCAGTCAGGCCTGCGATGCACTGGACAGCTCCACCACTTCCTCCTCTGAAAGCATAGCTGATTTGCAGCCGCCGGGGATCATGAGTGGCTGCCAGGGGCAGCATCCCCTGGGACCACCTCCCACAAGGACTGTGGAAGTGTTGGCCCAGGGACGGTCTCCCCTGGGGACTGTGGAAGTGTGGGCCCCTGGGACCGCCTCCCCCAGGGAGTGTGGAAGTATGGACCCCTGGGACCGCCTCCCCCAGGGACTGTGGAAGTGTCAGCCCCTAGGACCACCTACTGTCAGCCCCAGTGACACTTGGCTGGCCTGTCCTTCCCAAAGGTGGGGCCCAGTGTGGGGTGGTCACAGTCAGAAGCTCTGGTGTCTCCCGCCTTGGGGAAATCACTTTGCCTCTCAGGACTCAATGTTCTCCTCTGTAAATGGGCTGGCCCCCATGCCAAGGTGAGAAAAGATTTTTGGGCACCTTGGAAAGATGAAAAGCATTTGGACACAGTACTGACACTCAAGGACACTGCCATGCTGTGGGCGCTTATGAATAACCCAACATCTGCCTGGTTCCCTGTGGGGCCTCACAAGCCTCCCAGCAACAATCTTGGGAAAGAATCGCCCTTCCCCCAAGGGCACGCCCGGTTCCATGCACAGGGGTGCACAGCACACATGCAGCCTTCTTTTGAGCACTCTTCAATGTTATGACGTGGATCCTGATCACATGCACTGACATAAAACTCATTCCCAAAGAACCCTAGAAGGCTTCACTTCCTTCCCTAACATTTGAGGTCTGTCAGCCCCTGTGTTACTACTGTCCTGTTAAATACCTTCATTTCCCTGTTGAAGCTTCTTCAGAAGTCACATTTCAAAAGGTAGATGAGATCTATTTTTTTTTTCTCAACTAAAATAAAACTGGTGGGTTCACAAACACATGTCTGCTGAAGAAACTAATGGTGTAGAAACGGGATGGGTGGGACATTTTCAACTCGTTGTTGGCTGACATGGGCTACCTCTAGACTAACAGTCCGGGCTAGCCCCAGACTAACCAACCTGGGCTGGCCCCAACTAACCAACCTGGCTAACCAACCTGGGCTAGCCCCAGACCAACCAACCTGGGCTGGCTCCAGACTAACCAACCTGGGTTAGTCCCAGACCAACCAACCTGGTCTAGCTCCAGACTAACCAACCTGGGCTAGCTCCAGACTAACTAACCTGGGCTGGCTCCAGACTAACTAACCTGGGCTGGCTCCAGACTAACTAACCTGGGCTAGCTCCAGACTAACCAACCTGGGATAAGTAAAAGCTAACCAACTTGAGCTAGCTCCAGACTAACCAGCCTAGGCTAGCCCTAGACTAACCAACCTGGGCTAGCTCCAGACTAACTAACCTGGGCTGGCTCCAGACTAACCAACCTGGGCTAGCCCCAGACCAGCCAGCCTGGGCCAGCTCCAGACTAAACAACCAGAGCTAGCTCCAGACTAATCAGCCTAGGCTAGCCCTAGACTAACCAACCTTTGTTAGCTCCAGACTTACCAACATGGGCTAGTCCCAGATTGACCAACTTGGACTAGTCCTAGACTAACCAGCCTGGGCTAGTTCTACACTAACCAACCTGGGCTAGCCCCAGACTAACCAACCTGGCTAACCAACCTGGGCTGGCCCCAGACTAACCAACCTGGCTAACCAACCTGGGCTAGTCCCAGACCAACCAACCTGGGCTAGCTCCAGACTAACCAACCTGGGCTAGCTCCAGTCTAACTAACCTGGGCTGGCTCCAGACTAACCAACCTGGGCTGGCTCCAGACTAACTAACCTGGGCTAGCTCCAGACTAACCAACCTGGGATAACTAAAGGCTAACCAACCTGAGCTAGCTCCAGACTTACCAGCCTAGGCTAGCCCTAGACTAACCAATCTGGGCTAGCTCCAGACTAACTAACCTGGGCTGGCTCCAAACCAACCAACCTGGGCTAGCCCCAGACCAACCAACCTGGGCTAGCTCCGGACTAACCAACCTAGGCAGCCCTAGACTAACCAGCCTGGGCTAGCTCCAGACGAACCCACCCAGGCTAGCCCTAGACTCACAGCTGGGCCTCCTGCAGCCCCTGCTCTGGGCTCCACCTGTGCAGCTGGGTCCTGGGCTGCCGGCTGCTGGCCCAGGAAAAGGGTGTGGCTTCCCTGGAAAATTACCTTGCTTCGGGAGGGGGTGGAAACACCAGGGGACCCCAGCGACAGTGGAGTCGAAACAGCATCCATTGTCAAAGCACTGGTCACTGGTGATCCCTGGGAAGCCGCAGTTCTTCCTGTTATGAGGACTTATCCTGGAGCACTGGCAGGGGGCTGTGGAAAGACCCCCGTCAGCCCCGCCCTGGTACCCCAGCCCATGCTGCCCCTCCTTTCAGGGTTTTAGGGGATGCCTCTATTGTCTGAAGACCCCCGTCAGCCCCACCCTGGTACCCCAGCCCACGCTGCTCCTCCTTTCCGGGTTTTAGGGGATGCCTCTATTGTCTGAAGACCACCGTCAGCCCCGCCCTGGTACCCCAGCCCACGCTGCTCCTCCTTTCAGGGTTTTAGGGGATGCCTCTATTGTCTGGTTGCCACACAGAGAAACATGAAGTCTTATCTTGCCCATATTTGAGCAATGCAGTTGCCTCCTGAAAAACTGATGGGGTTTGCTGACATTTTTATGTTAGTTTAAAATGTTTAAAAGGCCAGGTACGGCGGCTCACACCTATAATCCCAGCACTTTAGGAAGCCAAGGCGGGCGGATTGCTTGAGCTCAGGAGTTCAAAACCATCCTAGGCAACATGGCGAAACCTTGTGTCTATGAACGATAATGAAAAAAAAAGTTAGCCAGGCATGGTGGTCCACACCTGCGGTCCCAGCTCTCAGTAGGCTGAGGTGGGAAGATCACCTAAGCCCAGGAGGCTGAGGTTGCAGTGAGCCAAGATCGTGCCACTGTACTCCTGCCTGGGCTGCCAAGTCAGATCCTGTCTCAGAAAACAAAACAAAACAAAACAATCCTTCTAGAAGAGGCTGAACAGAGGGACCCAAGGCCAAGATCAAGGGGACAGGTAAGTGCTCTGGGACTCCAAGGACCCTTGGTGGGAATGGCCTCCTGACCCTGCATGGGGCCCACTGACACCTGCGGTCACGCAGCCTTTCCCTCGGAGGGAGGCCCTTCTCAGAGCCCCCACCCCAGCAGCGGCAAATCCCACACACCTTGACACACCTTGTCAAATGCCTTTATAGCAATTTCCCCTCTCAAGTTAAATTATGGTTGTGCTTTTCTTTTCAAGAGAAATAAGGCACTTAAGAAGACCCTCTCCTTCTGTCACTTACAGGGTTTCTCGGCCCCTGCCAGGGCACAGAGCCCCAGGACAAGGAGCGCTGCCAGGAGCTGGGCGTCCCGTGGTCCCATGTCCAGCTGAGCTGCACCCCAGGGCGGCTTGCAGAATGCATGGAGCCCTCCACCGGGCGTGCTTTATAATCTCCTCTCTGTTTGTCCAACAAGCACAGATAACCTTTCTTCCCTGCCCCGCGGCCCCAGCCTTTCCACCGTGGAGGCGAAGATGAGGCAAGGGGCAGCCGTGCCCTGTGCAGGCAAGGCTTCCGGGCCGGGGTGACTCTCTCCCTGCTCGGCGAGGCCTCTTCCTGCCCTGGCCAGGGAGTTGGGTCATGCCAGGCTGCCAGCGTGGAAAACCAGCCACGTGCAGGTCTGGGGCCGGGCACACACAGGGTCACACCCAAGAAGGGATAAGCATGCATTTCTACTGATAGGGAGTGTGGGCACCATAGGAATTTAGAAAGAACTGGGGCCAAGTTTACTGGGGAAAATGAACAGGCCAGCAGGTAGTATGGAAAAGGCCCCTCTCCCGAGGAAGGGAAGCACCTCAGAGGAGGGAAGATCTGCTCCCGGGGCTGTGTTAGAGCCTCCCCAGCCACGGCACGAAGCCCCTTGTCCCATCTTCAGCAGGAGGGGCGGCTCTCCATGGAGACAAGGCTGACAGAGTCAACAGAGCAGCCTGGGGCAGGCAGGTTTTAATAATTTCATTTTCAGCCCACCCCTGAAAGCGGTTCTTTTTGTTCCATGGAATGCTGTACAGCTGGTAAGAGACAGCACCTGGGACAGCTGGTAAGAGATGGCACCTGGGACCCTACCTGGGGCAGGATGTGCAGCCCCCGCCCTGCTCCAGGTGGGATGTGCTGGAGACGGAGTCTGCAAACTGGACAGAGAGGACACAGCCAGCGGGCAGACACCCCAAAAGAAAGGGGAAGCATGGTGGGAAGGACAGAGGAACACCCGGCATTCCCCAGGCCAGGGAAATGACAAGGGTTTGTCAGTCTGTTTCTGATGGCTGAGCAGTCAGGGGCCCAAAGACACAGGGAACCCAGAATCCTTGGTCTGCCACAGGGCTGTCCTCAGGGTCTGGAGAGCAGGCCCCGTCCTCCCGGCCCCCTTCTTCCAGGCCCCCGTCCTCCTGACCCCCGTCCTCCTGACCCCT